TTTTGGTTTTAATGTGGGTAATTCATGTGGCCTTGATAGGGTTTAGAAGTCTTTTAGTTTGTATGATTCTTATGGCTTGAATCCAATTTATCTTATATGCACATATGCACATAGGATCTATGGTGGAATCCTGTAGTAAGGGAGCAAGCAATAATGAGAATTCACCGGATTGGCCAGAAGAGGACTGTCCATGTAAGAAGATTCATTCTCAAGGTGATTTTTATATTCATACATCAGTTTTTCTCTTTCAAAAATAAAATTATTTATGACACCCAACCGCTCGGGTCGGAGTTAATAGAATTGTAAGTTTGGGTGGCCTTTGGCCTGAAGATTACGTTTCTATATATCTGGCTTCCCACCATATGCTCCGACGCTTCGGCCAATGTGCCTGGGGAGCAGCTGAGATTCGAGGTCAGCAACATTCAGGATGAGCCTCCTGAATCAACAAGGATGCGTGCACCGACTGGTTCGGGCGACTGCCCAACGATGGAGGACGTGTGCGACCAGCCGCTTAGGGTAAGGGAGGTGACGAGCAATGTGCTGGAGCCAGAAAAAAGGTGTGAAATTTTTTAGATCCAATGTTCGATCCTTCAAACATGTTTCAATTATGTTTTGCGCAACGAGCTTTTTTGTGATAGCATTATCAAACTTTTTTTATTACACTGTGATAGTAAAACTTATTTGTAATCATTTTGTCAAGCTTTAGAGAGCTCATGTTTGTTGTGATGAAATTTGAAGACTTAATGTGTACTCAGCTGAAGATTTCATACTCTGTTGAAATTTATTCCAAAACTTCATTTGTATCAAATTTAGTAACAATGTTTAAAAATATATATAACTTAGGCTTATCACTTCAAGAGACGACAAATTTTCATTATATTTTAGAACAAAATATGACCTGCAACAAGTGATGACAAATTTTCAGTGTATTTTGGTTATTATTATATCGTATATTACTTCACACTTCTTAACCCAAAAAAAACAACAAAACAAGTCATAAAAAATTTTAACTATATTTTTAAATGTCACTTGTAACAATTATTTTTTATTTACAAAATGATTATACAACCTCTATGTAATATGATTGTAGGTTAATTAAAGAATCAACTAAATAGTACATCTCCGTCATTAACCCTTAAGTATATAAAAAAATTTCTAATCAATGATCAAGGACCAATATATGTTCACTCCCAGTTCTAAAATTCAATTTTCAGCATAAAAGCATAAACAAACAACACACGTAACACCTAGAATGTTTATGAATCAATAGACAAAATCGTAAGCAGATAACTTCGACCACGATTTCAGTTTGGGGATGCAT